TTGTTGTTGTTGTTGTTGTTGTTGTTGTTGTTGTTGTTGTTGTTGTTGTTGTTGTTGTTGTTGTTGTTGTTGTTGTTGTTGTTGTTGTTGTTGTTGTTGTTGTTGTTGTTGTTGTTGCTGCTGTTGCTGTTCGTTGTTGTTGTTGTTGCTGTTGTTGTTGTTGTTGCTGCTGTTGCTGTTCGTTGTTGTTGTTGTTGCTGTTGTTGTTGTTGTTGTTGTTGTTGTTGTTGTTGTTGTTGTTGTTGTTGTTGTTGTTGTTGTTGTTTTGTTGTTGTGTAAATTTATTGTCACTTCAAACAGGAATACAAGCCTTCTGACATGAAGTCGACAGAGAGGGGATGACCGAGGATTAAGCCCATGGGACACAGAGAAATATGACAAAGAAGAGACTAGATTTTGCAGTGACCGAGTCGGGAAGAAAAGGCTTGATCATTTGTCATTTTTACTTTTCGGTGCATCAGGTCCCTTGGCAGTCCCCTCATCTCCCAAATTGTCACGGCCCGAAATGATGCTACCCACACTACCTCCCAAACTAGAGGCCAAACATCCAGTAGTCTCTTTCTCCCCCCCCCCCCTTCATGTCCCGGCCAGGACTCCACAGTCTCTATTTTCTTAGTGCTGACCGCTTTAATGCACTACCCGCTATCATTCGATCCCAGCGTAGATCTACCTTGCCTGCTTTTCGCGTTAGCTGGTCACAATTTCTCCTTGGTCACCCTGTAATACGGCCATAGGCCTGTTGGGTACACCCAAGTAAGAATAATAAATACTAACGTTACTACTACTACTACTACTGCAGCTTGACCACTCTTTTCTCATTCTGTATTTTTGTTGTATGTGTTATATCCCAAAGCACAGTGAGGGCGCTGGGCAATGTGAACAGAGTGGATGTTAGGCTATAGTCTATAAATACCACACCCGACAAGAAAGGGATATGAGGACATAAGGCCTAATGGAAACAGTGTGTAATGCGTATTGTGTAGTGTCCTACAGGAAGCCAACGTGACACCAGCGTACAGGATGCATGCATCGGAAATTAAAACTGATCTACATTCTGTTTTAGCGTTTGCCTCAGGTCAGTGGGCTTGCCAGTAAGGTCGAATACGAGTAGTGATTGAAGTATATATGCAGGGTGCAGAATGCATCCGCAACGTGGCTTAACAGCAAGCAACAAGTTAGTTTCATGATTGAGCTTGATACCCAGTCAAAATCAAACAGTGCTCTGCATGCCTTGCAAGGCTAACACCAAGCTAAATCACACTAACAGACCGGTATACTACAATGTGTACTGGATCTTGGTTTATAACAAACCAAGACAAGGAGCAAAGATTTGGACATCATCCCAGCAACCCATTCATACTTCTCTATTACTCTCAAGCTACTGTCGTTTGCTTTCTCTACCATGTTTCCTCTTTCGCACAATCAAGAACCGGTACTTCCATACTTGAAGGCAATCACCAGTTAGCCTCCTTGAAGGAAACAATCTCTTCTTCGCTTGCTTTCTACCTTGATTGGCAAACTAACACTTTACACAATGCAACATGCTATAAAACCACCATTGCCAAAATCCAGTCTGCAGAAAGATACTCCACTGGGATTTTGTAAAGTCTAAGAGAAAAGCAAAATTTCTTCCACCTACTATACTGTGAAGGTCATATCGCAAGCTCCAGACCCAAACTTGGAAAACATGGCGAAGGTAAGATCAGTTCTATCCAGCTTCCTAGATACTTCATATTTCTACAACATCCTTTGCTTTGCTTTTAGAACAAGGGGCAATGGAGTCCTTAAAAAGTTGTACCGCCCCAGCCATCTTAGTCTTAACTACCATCATCATCCGCACACTCTCCTATCATGTTCGTGGAATTATCTATGAACATGAAACGATTCATTGTAAAGCTAGTATGACATCATCACTTCTGTCTCTTGACATCATCTCGTTCTGATCTCAATGTTGTCCCAATGCACAGGTCGATACAAACGCAGCGTCCCGCATGGCGATTCTGATGGTGGTAGCGACTCTTGTGACATCAACGCCATTGCCAACTCAATCACAATCGTCGACACCTTCATGTGCTCCTCCTGTTGAAACGTATGAGGACGGTCTTCATGTGTTTCCCCCAACTGGAAAACATTTCGAGCAGGGCTGCTACTTCCCCGATACATATGTCTTTCCTCATCGATTTCCATCCACATGTAGCCTACGGTGGATTTGCTCTCCCGTCTCTGATGTCCACCCATCATCTCCATCCTTCGTTGTCCCCTATCCACCTGCCATTCTGGAAGCTGCACCTACAGCTGGAAAAGAGCAAGAACTGGAGGAGTGCCATTGTATGAAGCGGACGTATGATCAAATGGTCTTGTTGACCCATTATGATGACAGACAAGAGCTGGCGTATCGTCGTACACTGATTGGCTATCGGCATTGCCATGGTGATCCTGAGAAGTGCAACCAATTCATGTGTTGATATGATTTACCCGTTTTAAAACAATTTCATCGAGACTTATCAAGACTCCCATTTGTGCAGCATCCTTGTCACGCATTAGAACTATAACATGTTTCTGATATTGTATGTTATCACTCTTCTATATCGACCTCCACTAATTCGCTTGTATCGACCGCTTGTATCGACCACTCAGGCATTGTAATCTTTCGACTTTGGAGGGACTTAGAATTTTTCTCTCCACTTCAAAAAGAGGATTTGAAAGAAAGAAGACAAAGGAAGAGAACAAGCAGGATTTGAACCCACAACAGTATGGATCTCAAGCAACCCCTTATACCACCTAGCCACTGTGCTGCAGATGCTGAAACCTGTTGTTCTTACAGTCTTGTACCTAAAATAAGCGGACCTCGGTCTTTTACTCGGCCTATATTTCCCATATAGACCTCGTCTTGGTCAATATCCTATACATACTTCTAAATATCAGGAATTATATACAATCTACATGTAAGCCAGAACATTAGGGCCCACATGCCTCGTCCTGCTCTTTTCTCTCCGAAATTCTACACTTGTAAGCCAGAATTGATCATATTCGTGTTACACCAGTTTTCAGTCAAAGTTTGTGATAGGGAGGCTTCCTTCTGCATCCTGGTTCCACGCCTTTGGTAACATATCTCTCAGTAAATATTTAGATAGTGTCTTGAATGACACTTCACCCAGCTTGACAGCTTCAGTGTACAATGTTATGTTTTCGAGCGAGAAATACGAGGTCCTATGACCCAGTAAGGGAGGGCAGGGGGTGCCTCTGTGCCAATGTGGTTCACGACATTGAAAATGAGAAATAGCAACAAAGCCTAAGGGGCCGTCCGAGGTTACCGATTGTTTTTACATAACGAAAAGTTTTAGTATTTTTCAACCCCCACCCACCCACCTTTTCTGCAGGTAAAACGAATTCCAATAAAATTTTTAATATTGATGTCAATTTTCGACACCCAGACGTAACTGGGCATTCTCCATCTCCATCTGCATTCAATAGTTATTTTCTAAATGAAACTCCATCAAACCCACCCACCCCAAAACGAAAACTTCGTTTTGAAAATAGTATTGGTAACCTTGGACGGCCCCTAACAGAGCAGGACAGAATATTGGCACGGTGTGCGGGAATTGGCAAATGATCAAGCCTTTTCTTCCTGACTCGGTCACTTAGGTATACCCAACAGGCCTATGGCCTTCTTACAGGGTGCCCAAGGAGAAATTGTGAGCAGCTAACGCGAAAAGCAGGCAAGGTACGCTGGGATCGAATGACTGCCAAGGGACCTGATGCACCGAAAAGTAAAAATGACAAATGATCAAGCCTGAAGATTTGGGAGATGAGGGGACTGCCAAGGGACCTGATGCACCGAAAAGTAGAAATGACAAATGATCAATCCTTTTCTTCCTGACTCGGTCACTGCAAAACCTAGGCTCTTCTTTGTCATTTTTCTCTGTCTCGCGTGGGTTTAATCCTCGGTCATCCTCTCTCTGTCAGCGCTAGAATGGTAGGAAGAAGCAGCAGCAACATGTGGCATATGTTCAGGTACCAAAGGTTAACAGGTGAATGATTATAATTGGTGATGTTCCCTTCACAATATCATTATTACTACTTCCAAGTAGTATCAATATTGGGTCCCATATCTTGAATATTTAGGTAGCTTTACGAAACCGTCCTAGTGGTCTCTTTGCCTTTGTGCCAAGTATGTTCCTACATGTATCTGTGAATAGAGCATGTCTGAGAATACCACAGAACACTGTATGAGTGCAAGTCGATCTCTCCGATTTCGGTCAAATTGTGCAGGTACATGTAGTTCAGTATCTTTTCGAGTGTAGTTCGGTGTGTTTGCCCGTAAAAGAGGCTGGTTTGGGAGTGTAGATCAACTGTGGGAAGGCCTTGAAAACGTCCCTGAAGAAAACCTTGAAAATGATACGCCCTTTTAAAATTGGTCTAAAATAGTGATGTACAGGTATTCGCACGAAGAGGCCATATTGGCAACAGTGTACACGGTATAGTGTATGAAATAGTAGTACTTGTGCACGTATAAAACAACTTCGGCGATAATTGCAAAGGCCTAGTAAAGGGTGTGCTCCCCACACTGGAGCTCGCGCTTTTCCGCCGACTTGACTCGACACTGTTTAGTGCAGGCAGTGGTGCTTTCTTGCAGGTTTGGCGAGTCGAAGGTTCCATGGACTTCTTGTGTGCTCTGGATAGCAGTCGTTAGTCAGTGAAGTGTCAAGTCGGCAGAAAAGTGCTAGATCCAGAGTGGGCAGCAGGGAGTAGTGAAAATAATAACGTTTTTGAGTAAAATAACGCTATGATGGTATTTTTTACTACTCCCTGGTGGGGAACAAACCCTTTCCTAGTATTCTGCTATTGTGTAGTATCCTACACTAGGCTACAGGAAACCATCGTGACACCAGCGTGCAGTTTGGATGCATCGGAAAATTAATAATAGTTAAAACTGATCTACACGTACATTCTGTTTTAGCGTTTTCCTCAGGTCAGTGGGCTTGCCAGCAACGAGAAGCGATTTAAGTGTATGTGAAGTGAAGAGTGCAGAATGAGTATTGTGAATGGGCTTTCAGACATAGAAACTAACACAACAACGTCAGAGCAGAGAGAATCAGCAGGTGCCAATGCAGAAAAGATGACAGGATGAGAAATCCCTTAATGGGCCATTCACACTACGCCCAGAACGTGGTGTACGTGACGTTTTCGTCCGGATAGCCATGACAACATGGAACGTGGTGTGAAAATCGTACCCCTGATACGAAAACGTAGACGACGTATCCAGACCCCTGTACCGAGTTTCGTTCTGTCGTTCCCAGCAGTTTGTGTCCAAAAGAAGCTGTACACACAGCTGTACGAGCAGCGTGTGCTGGCCTGTGTGAACTGCATGAAAACGACGTCTGCCAGTACGTCGTATTCCAAAACGTGATGCGTATTGTACCGTAGTATGAATAGCCTTAAAAAAAAGAGTTTAGAATAACAATAGTTAGTGGCCAAGACCAGCTTGAAATGACATGGTAATCTACCGAGGGAAAGCATAACATTTGATTTCTTATAAAAGAAATAAAATTGAGAAGTGAAGTTTAGAAATAAAATAGACAAAGTTCTTTGCGATCCTAAAAGACATAGTGTGTGACGAGAGAGCTTGGAAGCTCAGGGCCCTACGCTATGCTTTTTTGCTTTGATGACCTAGGCAAAAAAAGCTTAGGAAATTTTTCATTTCTCCTATTTTTTAAGACATAACCTGGGATTCGAACCCGCACAATCGCCCTACATGCATTACCCGATACACTTCGCATTCATACTCATTCTTCCAAGTTGCTTCACGTTATGATCTTGCATTTGAAAGCCCTATTTGAATATGCGTTGAATATTGTGGCCAGCTGTTTGTGGCCAGCTGTCTTTGATGGTACGGTACGGGACAGATACGGGATAGCGCCAGATGGAGGTCCGTCCGCAACAAACAAACAAACACCAAATTAAAGCTGTGTGAACCCTGGCTAGCGCCAGACGATACTGAAGTAACGTCTTCTGCATAGCTACGGGAATAAAATAAAATGAAACCCGAACTACTTCCACGAGGAATACGCCCACACGTTGCAGTCCAGTGGAATCAATGAAAAGCTTCCTGGAGCTGCTACTAGTTGTACACAGCTTGTATTGCTTGGTTGCAGGTGCAATGTTGGGACAGAGGGTCGGATCTAGGCGATGTAAGGCTGACCAGCAAAGCCTGTAGCGCCAAGGTTTGTGATGCGGTGCAGCTTGCCAGCATGTACATCGTCATCATCTCGACTAGGCAAGGAGAGAGGGATACATGGAAAGATGGATAGATACTCAATCTGCGGACAGAACTGTTTCGTCCTTTTTGGACTCATCAGCGCAGTGCAGAGAAAATGAGGCCGAACCTGATAGCAATGAAAACTAAATTTTCCAAAGCCAGATTTTTAAACCAGGCCCAAACGTACCTTGCAGATAGATAGATAGATAGATAGATAGAGAGAGAGAGAGAGAGAGAGAGAGAGAGAGAGAGAGAGAGAGAGAGAGAGAGAGAGAGAGAGAGAGAGAGAGAGAGAGAGAGAGAGAGAGAGAGAGACAGAGAGAGAGACAGAGAGAGAGAGACAGAGAAAGAGATAGAGAGAGACAGAGAGAGAAAGAGAGAGAAAGAGAGATAGATAGAGAGAGAGAGAGAGAGAGAGAGAGAGAGAGAGAGAGAGAGAGAGAGAGAGAGAGAGAGAGAGAGAGAGAGAGAGAGAGAGACAGACAGACAGACAGAGGCAGAGCGAAACAGAGGCAGAGCGAGACAGAGGCAGAGCGAGACAGAGGCAGAGCGAAACAGAGACAGAGCAAGACACAGAGAGAACCAGTCATACTGCAAGAGCATACCAAATTGAATCAAATCGAAACATACTCAACTCGCTTGAATACAGCAGTGTAGCAGATGTACAGTGAAACCTCGTTAGGAAGAACACTGATAAGACAAATGTTTGCCTAAGAAGAACTAGTATTCGTAACTGTATTGGATAAAACCCTGTGTATTCACTGGGTAAAACATATGGATAAGAAGAACTCCCGTTATTGTGAACAAATATCATCGGTCCTTTGATGTTTGTCCAAAAGAGGTTTGACTGTATGTGTGCAGTATGTACAAGTATGTGTGCAGTATGTACAAGTATGTGTGCAGTATGTACATGTATGAGTGCAGTATGTACATGTATGAGTGCAGTATGTACATGTATGAGTGCAGTATGTACATGTATGCGTGCAGTATGTACATGTATGAGTGCAGTATGTACATGTATGAGTGCAGTATGTACAAGTCATGTCCATGTGGTGTCTACACTGGTACTTACCCGCCAGTTGTGACGTACAGTTCGTCCAGGTTCTTTCCACCAAAGCAGCATGACGTCACACACTTGGCATTCGGTATCTTGATCGTCAGCGGAGCTTGATCAGGAGCAGTCGGGTCGATGCAGTGCACCTATCGACACAATCATTCACAGCACAAGACTTCTACGGCCATGAAGATACCATTTATTTATTTTTATTTATTTTATTCTAAGCAATACATAGCTGGGGTAGCCAATGACCACTTTGTGTGGCGATTGCAGGGTTTTTATAGCCAACCACGGCTAACAAGGAAAAGAGTAAGAAGTCAAAAAGAAAAGAAAATGAAGAAGGAAGCAAATATGGACTAAAATTGTGGTCTACCATTTCCAAGACACACGGAGATACCTCCAGTGTCAGCCGCGCCTCATCCCCTTCCACCCCCATTCCTCATCGCCTTCCACCCCTATTCATCATCCCCTTCCACCCCTATTCCTCATCTCCTTCCACCCTTATTCCTCATCCCCTTTCACCCCTATTCCTCATCCTCTTCCACCCATATTCCTCATCCCCTTCCACCCCTATTCCTCATCCCCTTCCACCCTCTATTCCTCATCCCCTTCCACCCCAATTCCTCATCCCCTTCCACCCATATTCCTCATCCCCTTCCACCCCTATTCCTCATCCCCTTCCACCCCTATTCCTCATCCCCTTCCACCCCTATTCCTCCTCTCCTACCACCCCTATTCCTCATCCCCTCTCACCCATATTCCTCATCCCCTTCCACCCCAATTCCTCATCCCCTTCCAACCTCTATTCCTCATCCCCTTCCACCCCTATTCCTCATCCCCTTCCAACCTCTATTCCTCATCCCCTTCCACCCCTATTCCTCATCCCCTTCCACCCCTATTCCTCATCCGCTTCCACCCCTATTCCTCATCCCCTTCCACCCCTATTCCTCATCCCCTTTCAACCCTTATTCCTCATCCCCTTCCACCCCTATTCCTCATCCCCTTCTACCCCATATTCCTCATCCCCTTCCACCTCTATTCTTCATCCCCTTCCACCCCTATTCCTCATCCCCTTCCAGTGGCGGATCCAGGGGGGGGGGGTTCCGGGGGTTCCATGGAACCCCCTAAATTTAGCAAAGTGTGCGACTGAGAAATATCGAAAAATATCATGTGTGCACAAAAGGACGTCCGTCCGATCACAGTCAGTGGCAGTCACTGATATACATGATTATGATCATATGAGTCAAGGAGCACAGACTGTCAGTCAGTGCACTGCATGCGCGTGCGGTAGATCGATACTGAGTCTGTACGGATAGTAGTCTGTACTGGTGAGTGGTGCTCACGTCCGTGATTTACAAACGGACACTGTAGACAACATTGGGTGGTTGTTTCCTTTTTGATCTTTCGAAACGATCCAAACTTACCTCCATTGTAGGCCTTGGCGGATAATGCTCGAAAAGGTGGCAGATTCTGCTTTTTTTGCACCGAAATTGGCAGAACCATACAAACCTTATGGCGGGCAATTCCTCGAATTCTGCTCCATTTCTTTATCCACATACCAAACATGCATGAAACGTACCAGAAAAAGTACCGAATTCTGCCAATTTTTCTGCCGGCATTATCCGCCAAGGCCTACTCCATTGGCGCTGTCATTCACTGCTGCTCAGGATGGGTGTGGTGTGGTCAGTATTCCTTGGACAAGTTTTTTGCAGAAGAGAAAGGATGTTCCGAGTACTGACACTCTTCAACGAACTAATACTTCGAACCGTACACGTAGAGTTCAAGCTCCTCAGAATATAATAATCTTTATTTCAGGATTACCCAAAGGCTGACGCCTATCAAGATGAGGGCTCCGACATCCAAGCAAAGTCAGTAATCTCTACCTGCTGCAGCATGCAGTAGTGACTAGTTGTTCCTCCGCAGGAACGGAGTGCTGCGCCAGATGTGTTTCAGATGACATTGGAAGGATTGTACAATTGTCGACACTGTTCCGCTATTGTTGTTTCTGTCACTGAAGTGAAGACGATGCTCTTGTCCTGTGACTATAGAGCATTTCGCATCGTAAAAATGCCAAAAATTTCCGAAAGCACAAATGGACAGGGAAAGTAACTTAGTTGTCATTTCGGCATTCCTGGCTCTCAACGTACCCATGGCTTGCATATTCGATCTTTACAAGAAGTTGAAAGGGTCTTCCGTACTAAATAATATACAATGTAGGGTAAGCAGCAGCATTTGGCCCTGTTCAGGTTTTCCATCGTCCACCACACCACAACTGCGCTCCGACTCAGTCTCCAGCGATGGTGCAGTGGTGGTGTGCTATGGCAACGTGTCGAGGCCGGCTGGAGAGCGCAGTTGTGGTGTGGTCGATGATGGAAAAATATAATAATTATTATGTCCGTAGTGTGTTTTAAAAGCATGCACTCGGATTGTCGTTATTACAAGTGCCAACCGCACATCTGATTCCATAATATTTTGGCTGTTCAATTTTGGTTCAACCGGAACCCCCCTGTAGAGATCTCTGGATCCGCCCCTGCCTTCCACCCCTATTCCTCATCCCCTTCCACCCCTATTCCTCATCCCCTTCCACTCCTATTCCTCATCCCCCTTCCACCCCCATTCCTCATCCCCTTCCACCCCTATTCCTCATCCCCTTCCACCCCTATTCCTCATCCCCTTCCACCCCTATTCCTCATCCCCTTCCACTCCTATTCCTCATCCCCTTCCACCCCTATTCCTCATCCCCTTCCACCCCTATTCCTCATCCCCTTTCACCCCTATTCCTCATCCCCTTCCACCCCTATTCCTCATCCCCTTCCACCCCTATTCCTCATCCCCTTCCACCCCTATTCCTCATCCCCTTCCACCCCTATTCCTCATCCCCTTCCACCCCTATTCCTCATCCCCTTCCACCCCTATTCCTCATCCCCTTCCACCCCTATTCCGGCAGAGAAATGGAGCAACACTACAGTTTTAACATTGTGCATACCAACATCGGGTTGGCTTCAAATTAACAACATCAACAACAACTCGTGAATACCAACACCATGTGAAGACCTGCCAGCCATGCGTTCAACAATAATGATGAGTCGTAAACAGCAACACTTTTCTCATAGTCATACCCAGTCAAGGGTCATTATTTACCAGGTTGCCTGACACCATCAGTGTGACCCACGTGCAATAGACCATAATCTCACGCTTTTCACCAAATAAATCGTTGGTCAGATCAAAAACCGACCACAAAAACTGGCTCATGCAGCATACAGTAGCTGCAGGGCGACTGGGGGCATACACAAGATCTGGTGTGTGTGGGGGGGGGGGGGGGGGGGCTCCTTGCTCTATACATTTCCCGCATGCGCAATCTGTGAGCACGTCACGGTGTGTCACGGGCCGTCTCCAAGCGGCTGGTATTTTGGGTTTTTTCAGCCACCGTCGAAGGCGTTTAGGGTCTATGCTGTGCTAGGCAACAAGATACAATCATGTACAGTTGTGGCAAGCGAAACCGCAACACGTGCCATACGGGACTGCTGATCCATTCATGGCTGGAGGAGTTTCACTTGGCACACCTGTACAATGTACGTCAAACATGATACGGTGTACATGTAGTCGAGTGCTACTTACTCCTGAGCTAGCGTATCCAGCCACCCACAGCCGACCGACACTATCAATACACATGCCATCTGGAAACTGAGTACATGTACAGCATAGCACCACAGCACATAGCACACACACACACACACACACACACACACACACGCACATACACACATACACACACACACACACACACACACACGCACACACACACACACACACATGCACATGCACATGCACATGCACACACAATATAGAAAGCAATTACATGTATATGTACAGTCGTGATTATTATTGTTCGGTCCTCCACCTTATTACATAATACGATTAGTGTTACTACATATATTGCTATAGGTTGCAGCACTGAGTTACGCGATGCAGGAGTGCTGGTGCAGTGTCGCGCATTGAGGTCTTGTCTCACTATCTTATTCAACACCTCCCTCTCGTCCCTCTCTTCCCATCCTTCTTCAAAATTGCAAACATCACACCGAGTCTGAAGTCAACTCAAGACCCCCGCAACTGCCCTTCTAACTACCGCCCAGTGTCTTTAAAACGTCTATCCTAGAAAAACTCCTGGAGGTGCTTGCGTTTGCTTGCCTCCGCGTGTTTTTCAAAGATCGTTGCCCTTTCCATGTGGACCAATTTGGCTTTCGGAAACACCGTTCTACCGGACAGCTTCTCACGAAGGTTACCAACGACTGGCTTGTCTCACGCGGCGCTGGACTGCACACGGCAGTTGTTTGCATTGGTTTGGAAAAAAAAAACGTTTGATATGGTAAAGCATCAGCAGTTTCTTTTTGCTCTCGCAGCTGTCGGTATTTCAGGAGCGGCCCTGGCCTGGTTCCGATCGTACTTTCGTGGCAGACAACAGCGGGTGGTTACCCACACTGGAACGTGTCCGTTGGTGCCAATAGCTAGTGGCATGCCACAGGGCACAATTCTGGGTCCAGTTCTGTTTAATATCTATGTACGGAAGCTCCCATTGACAGCAGAGGCCTTTTCTTTCAAGCTCCCGATGTTCGCTGACGATATGACGTTGTATGCCAGCAGACTTACACCAGTTGAAGCGTTGTAGCACGGAGGGAGGCCCGATAGCACGCTTCACCCCTCTCGGCTGGATATGCTACGGTCCCATGCCGGAAGATACAGCATCACACGAGTTGACATAGGTTGCCGGTCCTGAGTCAAGCGACACAGAACAGCTGGACAGGACGGTAGCCAAGCTGTGGAATCCATTGGTATGCAGACTACACAATCACAATATGTGAGCCGGGACGAGAAAGAGGCAGAAAGTCAGCTCTCAGCATCAACTATGATGGCGAGCGCTTCTAGCTAGGAATCCCCTGGAAAGGCGGCAACAAACTAGATGTACAATTCAACAGATACCTCGCTGGACATCGGCTGCGTTCATTGCAACGGACACTGGAGAAACAGCCGTCAGTCCGTCTGCAGTATGCTACGGTCCTCAACAACTACCTGGAGAAGACCTACATCTGCCTGGTAACAGACCCTGTCGATTCCTTCGCTGGACGCTGGTATCTGCCACACTTCCCTGTGGTCCGGGAAGACAGAACAAAAGACTAAGGTCTGAGTAATTTTCGGTGCGGCAGCAAAGTGCCATGGCTACTCCATCAACGATTCCATGCATGCTGGGCCTAATCTCATGAACAATGTTGTTCAAGTGCTCCTCCGCTTCTGCCATGCACCGATTGCAATAGTGGTCCGCAATTTGCCTCTGGCAAGTTTGCTACTTTCTGTGCCCAGAATGATATTCAGCATCATCGCACACCGCCCTATCATCCCGCCAGCAATGGACAGTGTGAGCGGATGGTACAGGAACTGAAGAAGGCTTTGCGAGCAATACCTCACCATGTGTCTGTGTGTGTGCAAGTGTCACGATTTCTCTTTGACTGCAGAAACACGCCGCACAGTGCTACTAAGCAGAGTCCCGCGAGTATTCTGTTGAAGAAAGCTCCGACCACGCGTTTGGCACTGCTGCAACCAAGTTTCGCCACGGCTATGCAGCAGGCTCATGAACTCGACGGCACTGCGTCTCGTGAGTTCACCGTGAATGCACAAGTGTGGTTGTACAATGCTCGTCCTGGTTCTAAGCCGAAGTGGCCAGAAGGTTTGATTTGAAAAACGGCTAGTACGATGACCTATTCGGTATTGGAGGAAGGAGTCGTCCGAAAAAGTGCACATCGATCATTTAAAGTCAAGAACAGCTGAGTCTGCTAGTTCATCGGCCGAGTCCGACGCCATTCCAACTGCGTCTGCGCCAAGTGTTACTCCTACAGTCGCTACAGCAACTCCGACTCCTGAGTTACCAGATTCACCGCCGGTTCAGTCGTCCACTGTCATTGATACATCAGCTACTGCTATTCCTAGTACGCCTCCTACTGCTACGCCTAGTATGTCTACTACTGCTGCTACTCCTTGTGTGTCTGATACAGTTCAAGTCACTACTCATGTCAGTATGCCTGATGTGTTAATGCCTGTTTCGTTAACTCCAGTGTCACCGCGCTATCCGTCAAGAGTGCGTCGTGCCCCTGATCGTTTGAATTTGTGAGTATTGAGTGACTGTCTTAGCATTAGTCATGAGTGACACGCCTAGCAATTCTTACATTACCATAGCGTGTCCTCTTCCGCTATTTGTCTATAATAGCATAATATTGTGTCATAGTTAGTAATGGCTGGCGTTAAGTTCCCGAACACAATTACCAACAAGCATCTGTACGACATCTGCGGCTCAGCACCAATTTCGCTCGAGATTGACCAACGGCGTTGGGAGTTCCTTGGTCACGTACTGAGAATGCAGAAGAGCTCTCCCCCACAGCGTGTGTTAGAGTTTTCAGCCACTGCGAGCCTGCGCGGTCGACTGGGCCGACCCAGGACAACTCTCCTCTCAGCTCTTTCTCAGGACTGCCTAGCCCGACTCGGCATTCGCCTGGGCACGCTTAGAGGCCTTAATCAGCTGCGGCAGTTGGCAGGGGATAAGTCACGGTGGAATGGCACCCCGCGGCACTCATCTTCCTCTGCCGAGCCGCGTCCTTGACTTATCCCCTGCAGGTTGATAATCGTGCACGAACAGTCTACCGTCTTTCTGACATTGCCACTCGAACTTGACAATAGATGCTGCTTTTCGTATGTGCAGTTACATTGAGCCATGGTGTTTTTGTCTTATGTTTGTGAATCCTTCCCGGAAGCAAATGCTGGTTTTTATGCATTCGTGTAATTACTCAGCGTTATTTGCAATAATAATAATAATAATAATAATAATAATTTGAAACTCGGATGTTGAGCCATAAATAAATGTAAAAGAGAAAAGGACATATGGATACGAGTCAATAATAATAATAATAATAATAATAATAATAATAGTTAGTCTGATATAAGGACTTGCTCGCGTATATAGTTTGCTCCGATGTCTTGTTTGCATTTTGGTTACGTATGTGCATTATTGCTATTCCCACTTCACTACTTCTTTAAGGAAGGAGGAATGTTATAGATAGATCTATTAACATTATTGTCTTACGATCTACATTCTATTATGTGTCAGACGTTCTACGTTCCTTCGATGCATGCATGACGAATAATGACGATGTCTTACCTCATTATGAATCAGTCTTCTTCTTCTACATTACGTCTGCCTGGCTGACGTGTGTCTTAAGTTGGCTACTGGTTTGACCAGTTCTATCCTGTCGTGCTATAACGCCAATATTGCCACGACAGTGCTGACGTGTCTCTTCAGCTTCTCTCCCCATGATTGCCCTTTACATCTCCACTTCTACGAAGTATAATTATCCTAGAAATCCGACCCGTGAGGCGAAAGCAGCGCCACGGCTCATGTGGCCCTCGGATGGGTTTTCAAATCGTGCACGGTGTAATTGAAATCAACGACGCTATTGTTGACCCGCGTCTTGGATGTCTCTGGCCACGACTGCATGTAGGGTGAGAACAACTGACAATGTGGCCACCGCATTTCCACGATAGTTAGCCCGTCTTATTATTATTATTATTATTAGACACAATCTCATAGCATGTGACAAGCATAGCTGATGCAGGGACAGAATCCCCTGAGACTAGGGCGTTGAGCCAGCCACAGCAATAGTAAGCTAGGAAAACAAAGCAAATATGAACTTCCTCTTGTCTTGTAATTTCAGTGAGCACACCTGAGCAATTTTAAAGTCAGACTCAATGGGAGGTATGCATCAATGATGGCCATCACCTTTTTGCGGGGCAAATTGCCCCATTTTTGGCAGGTACACCCCCCCCCCCCCCGTTCTAGTACATTTATGAGTATGACCTCACAAAGTTCATGACCTTTTTATGCAGAGTTGGTATGACAGTGTGTACGGTTGTAGTGGACTGGCCCAGCAAAACCTAACGGCGGGAAATGGATGCGTACGTCGCATTGTAAGTTGCACAGCTGCCCGCGCTGCCTTATCGTCCGATTTATCTGACACTCAGTGCCTGAAATTCACCCTCCGTCTGAAAACAGATCCGGAAAAAGAGCCTTTTGGAATTTGACAGAACTTCTAAGACTCTACACTACGTAAAGTTTCACTCATGTTACCTCACCACATGAGGAAATTCAACCATTTTGGTGGATGTCTGGAAAAGGTGTACGATTTTGGATGAAATTTATTTTATGGCACAGCAACTGAACAGCCAGGCACTGAACGACCAGGCACTGAACAGCCACGGGGGAAATTCTTAAAGGGGAAGTTAAGGCAAAAATTAAAATTTCACCAGTTGTAGTCTTCGGGGTGCTGAGTCGAATGGTCTTGGTCCAAGGAAGCTGAGACGCTCCCTTCCTACTTGAATCCCAATCGAACTCGCGCACTTCCACCGAAACTGGGTGACTGCGCCCTACTAGATGGGGATTTGTATGCAAAATGTCACTAAAAGCGCCATTTCGTTCTTATAAAAGCACGGATGACCGCGATTGGCCCATATGTTGTAGTCTTTTGGACGCTGAGTCGACTGGTTTTGGTCCGAAAAGGCTGCGATGCAGCGTTCCTCCTTTATTCCCAATCGAACATGGTTGAAGAAGCGGTCACGTGCTCCTGGGTGCCCAAATCACCTGGTATGGTCACCACGCCAGCAGGCGAGAACTTTCACACCAAGGTTCAACTCGAGTTCAACTCGAGTGACAGGACTGCACCCAAAAAAGGTCAAACAGGCTAGTAAGTTGTACCCTGCATGCACGGTGACCAGGTGACTGGCGTACGCAGGAGCACGTGACCGCTTCTTCAACCATGTTCGATTGGGAATAAAGGAGGAACGCTGCATCGCAGCCTTTTCGGACCAAAACCAATCGACTCAGCGTCCAAAAGAGTACAACATATGGGCCAATCGCGGTCATCCATGCTTTTATAAGAACGAAATGGCGCTTTTAGTGACATTTTGCATACAAATCCCCATCTAGTAGGGCGCAGTCACCCAGTTTCGGTGGAAGTGCGCGAGTTCGATTGGGATTCAAGTAGGAAGGGAGCGTCTCAGCTTCCTCGGACCACGACCATTCGACTCAGCACCCCGAAGACTACAACTGGTGAAATTTTAATTTTTGCCTTAACTTCCCCTTTAATAGTTATAGGCCATCGGGAAAAAACATACCCTATAAAAATACAGTAAGCAGCTTTCGTTAGCATCCAGATGTTTCAACGAAGACTTTCCGTCAGTGGAGTGCAAACTCGCGAATTCACAGGGTCTTCCCGCTCACTAACGTGAAGTTGCTCAACTTTACGTAGCACGGAACCTCTCTATACTTACATGTATATCGCACAACCGCCGCCATGCACATTTCGCGCTTTTCCACACTGCGTAGTGAGGCATAAAAAGACCGCGTTACTATCTTGGAATTTCTACCGCCCACGGCCGCATCAAATCCTTGGCTACACAATATAAAAATAAAACTCCCGCAAATCTCTCCAAAACAAACTTCTAACTCTTTCCAAATTTTCAGGCATATGACAAGGCTACAGAGGAGTTACGCTATCCCAGGCGCGTGCGGCGGTGCCCTTTAAGGGGGTTCCGGGGGCCTCCCCCGGGAAAATGTTCAAAAAATGAAGCAAAAATCCTGCATTTTGAGCGGAAAAAAAAGGGGAGGGGGTTCCGGGCACCCAGGAACCCATACAGGGCACGCGCCTGCATCCTTATTTGTTTTTTTACTATCTGCCAACACAACTACTGTATAGCAGGTGGTTTTCGCGTAACAGCCCGTCATCGGGAAGGGCTCATGGATTTTAACAACAACAAGCCTCCACTTACGCCAATGTCGAGACCGGTGGTGTCCAGCATGGTGCGCCTGTTAGAGATAGTGCCATTGGCGTTATCATAGTCATACGCATAGATGGCCCTGAAAGTCGATCAGGATCACACACAATTAACAAGCATATTGATGAAGAAATTCGCGTTGGCACATGACATCATGTTGATAGTTCCGTACAATACACTATTCATCAAAGCCATTCTGAGATCTACTTCCAAGTACAGTAAAACCTGTAATCTAAATTTTAGGTGCCTAGTTTCTCTACCAAAATTACCCAACTTAAAGTTACGCCAAATTAACGTGTTATACAGCATTGCGCGACACATGAAACATGTAGCGACGTTACCCAGGTCCCTCAGGTCTCCCGCAACATTTGTATACCATACTGTCTTGCATTTTAAAGCCTGTTTCGTAAAGAAGCCCGTTCGGAATACAAGATCGAACTTCAGGCTGGACCATTCGGCACATCAGCCTGGCGTTCGAGTTGACACACATAGATGTACGGCACAGAAAGTTCTCTGTATATAATACATGTCATGGTTTCTGTAAAGTCGGTGAAACTAGCTTTTCAATATCCGCAGAAAAGCCACCACCCCGCAAAGTGGTCAAAGGCCGGAGAGGCCATTCATTACAGCCGTGCTACCTTTCTACATAAGAGCATAATGACACAATCAGCTCATACCCGGGGATAGAGTCTACGAAGTACATTGTCTTTTCATCAGCTGACCACGCCAGGCCATTGGCGATAGCAAACTGAAAGGGAGAAAGCCACATGCGCGCACACATGCACATCCACACGCATGAACGTCCACACGAATGTGCATGTACACACGCACACACACACGCACACTTGCTCATATCATGACTATTGTACTATTCTCCGTATGCATGTGCGCCACACAGTCACCCTTCGGCAGCACAAACAAAAACGGAAAATGTGCCAACCAGGAGTCTAAATCCAACCTTGACTTGAATAGACTTGCGAGTACCAACTCACTAAGAGATACGAATCGGCGCCCGGGAGATCGTAGGGCACGCCTGGCAAACAAAAAATCACAGTTCGCGTGAGACTCAGCTGGAGGCCGGTTTTCCGCATCCGTAGGGGTGCCACCACTCTCTATGGATCAATGCACAGATGCAGCTCCTAAAGCGGTGGGAGGTGAGTAGGTCAGACCCAACACAAAGACAATATCCAATGTCAAGACAAGCCAGTCCCTACCTTGCTGTCCTTTGGGCTCGACAATGCAAATCCTTTGTCAACCAAATACTGCAATGGAAAAGAAGAATTCTGTTAGCAAATGAGTACTGTTGCATGTGCACAGCATAGGTCATCACACACCAGCATAGGTCATCACACACCAGCAGGGAGTCGTACTCAAACTAGGGAGGTGACACGGCACAGAAATACGTGTCACAGGGGTTGACTCGCACCCGTGACCCCTCGTTGTTATTTTTGGAATAGTTCAGTCCAGTCCAGTCCGAAAGGTCATACTCGGATCGACTCGCCTTCTGTACTTCACCTCCAAGCGTGCAACGCAAGACCCGCAAAGTATGATTTTTCTGCGGGGAACGATTTGCCATTGATCAAGTTTTTATTGGAGTGCTCAGGCATACTACGATTGCTGAGAGGTCCCGAGCACGCTTGTTCAGGTTCTCTATTATTGACGAGCTGGTCCTACAGCCCCCTACATATGTCATTGTAACTAACGACGTAGGAGCTGACAATGTAAGAGGATTTCCCTGGAAGTAATGATGATGGTGGTGTGACTGCTGCAGGAAAAATGCTGGCTGTTTATGACAGTATGACTAGATGTACAATGTAGCTCTCTTGTATGGTACTTAACCCCTGCTATAAATGTGTTGTTTAGGAAGACTGGTGTATTGTGCAAGTCATAAAGAAGAAATGGGGCAGGTACACGACTTACAATTTTCAAAAACCAGTTTCGTGTTATGTGTAATTTGTGTCAAAATTGTAGTATTTAGACATGACAATATCAGTGGCTGTACTTCTCTAATATGGTACATAACCCCTGCTATAAATGTGTTATTTAGGCAGACTGGACCATTGTGCGAGTCATAAAGAAGAAATGGGGCAGATACACGACTTACATTTTTCAAAACCTGGCTTCGTGTTATGTGTAATTTGTGTCAAAATTGTAGTATTTCAACATGACAATATCACTGGCTGTACTTCTCTTATATGGTACTTAACCCCTGCTATAAATGTGTTGTTTAGGAAGACTGGTGTATTGTGCAAGTCATAAAGAAGAAATGGGGCAGATACACGACTTACAATTTTCAAAAACCAGCTTCGTGTTATGTGCAATTTGGGTCAACTTTTAGTATTCGGATTAACCTAGGATACGACTCTGAACGGTTCTGAACAGTTACCGCAACACTACACGCCGTCTCATAACTGCTGCTGTTGCCATCACTGCTATCAAGTAGTTCGGACATGGCAGGAGCTAAACAAATTGCTGGTAGTCTTTCAAAGAATACTGGCGAGTGATGGGCTGTAAACAAAATGTGCTGCCTCAAAAATTTCAAAAACTAGACACCCATGCGGCACACTTGGAGGTGAAGTACAGAAGGCGAATCGATCCGAGTATGACCTTTCGGACTGGACTGGACTGAACTATTCCAAAACTAACAACGAGGGGTCACGGGTGCGAGTCAACCCCTGTGACACGGATTTCTGTGCCGTGTCACCTCCCTAGTTTGAGTACGACTCCCTGCACACCAGCATAGGTCATCACACACCAGCATAGGTCATCACACACCTTGTATTCATTACATGTGTTGCATGCATGTCAAGTTGTTTACCAGAGGTTGTACCGCGCAAGGCTGTGCTGTCATATGCAGCGCCAGTTTCGGCGCGTCTCACATGCATCGCCAGTTTTGGCGCGTCGTGTACGCCATTATTTCCTAGGCTACAGCAGAGGTATTTAGGGCAACTCGTGCATTGTTAGGTGAGTTGCGTTTGGAGAATCTGGGAGGAAGAAGCTTAGTGTTCTTTGGATTCTTCTGTTTTTCAGTCTAATGTTCGTTCCTTTTATATACTAAATGATTGTATTGTGAACTATCCTCTGTCGCTAGTTTTGGACGTGCAAGGCTGTGGCATTCGGGAACAATTCCATGCACACACACAACAGGTACATTGAATTAGGGAATGAAGAACATTTAGGAACATTTTCAGGAGAGTTGACTGCCAGAAATGAACACAGAATGCCTTGGCTAAGCGACTAACATATATTTTTTTAAAAATTTGTGCTGTGTGACCGAAGGATGACCCAATCAGGAAGATGCTGCTCTTCAGGACATTTGGATTGCATCAATGGGTCGAAAGTACACCGTCAACCACACAGATCTCCACAGGTCAATTGGCATGGTGAATTGTATTCCATGCCCGGGTTTCTGGTGATGTTCAAGACTTCCGCAGCAAAAAGGCCACAGCAACTAATTGGTGATTGTTGTGCTGGGAAAGAATTCCGACGTGTTAAATTTAAGTAATTTTTAACTGAACAATTGGTTTGAGCAGGCTTTAAATGCCATAGAGTGGACTACAACGGCAGAAGAGAACAGAGACAATCGGCTAGGTCATTGTTGCAACGATGCATTTCATGCACATAGCAAAGCTAAGGCAATCCTAAGACAACTGATAATCTGTACATCATCTGGCCACAAACTTCTATCCAGGCAACTATAGGAACAACTGCCCTTTAGCACAGCAGTGCAATGAGACCACATATACACGGATGTACTGAGGTGTGTGTGTGTGTGTGTGTTGGGGGGGGGGGGGGGGGAGGGGGTGCATAGCACAGCCGACAATGCAGAGAAATCAAACGTACCAGATTGCCAGCTTCAGGATCGCGCACCTGAGCGTTTGCTTCCGAACTCATTGAGCCTGCAGCAGCAGCCGCAGCAAAACAAAAATCAGAAAAATTCTGAACCTACAGCTGTGCTATGCCCGCACTGTCAAACAATACAACAGAAACAGAAACAGTGTTTGTGTGCTGTTGACAATAGACCATAGTATCACACCTTCCTAGCACCGGCAGGCAAACATCAACAAGGGGCAGTAAACGATTGCAACAAGCGGTGAAATTCAAAAAATCCTTCAGACGCAATGGATTTTTATGAAGTGATCAAAAATCGAAATTGGCATTCTCCACGATCCGCACGCATCCACAATAAAATCAGAATGCGTTCATGAAGGTCATGCAATACGATGTGAGGCGCGTGCTGTGGTGTGTGTGTGTAGGTCATGCAGTACAATGCAAGGTATGTACTGTGTCTGCCGTCACAAATGATTAGAAGTGAATCAATCTTGCCCTAAAACAGTGCTAATGAAAATCAGCAAAGGCGCAGGACATCGTGAGTTTAATCTTATTTTATGTTGTAGCTGGATTTTCTTCACCTGCTCCCAGCCCCGTGCCTACTCCACACGTATACAAGACGACGAATTAATTCATTCGGAAAGACTTTATTGACACAACGACGAAACACAACTGGACGCGACGAACTGAAGACGAAGACTGCTTTTCACACCACAGCAACACGCGCATGCATCAACATCACGTACACACGACGTACACAAAACAGCGTACTACAGCATATACTTACCAGCCCAGAGGCGACCAGACTGACAACAAAGAAAGCACACACACACACACACACACACACACACACACACACACACACACACACACAGATATTGAAGATTGGATTGCCATCGTCGCTAAGATGATACATTCACCATTCAAGAGTGTGTGAGTCTGTACATGGTCTCCGACGACAGCAAACACTTCAAAAATAATATCAAGCAAAACCTAATTGCAGTGTTTAGTGGGTACACGTGTATGTGTACATGTACCATCATTATTATTTCTCCAATTACAAGTCGCACCCCTACTTTCAAGTTTGAGCCCTGTTGTTTCAATACATTCACACAAGAAGGATGATGTCACACTCGACTGCAAGTCGCACCTCCTTCTTTGCCCTTGAAGTGTTTAGAGTAAAAAGGTGACTTCTATCCAAGGAAATACGGTACGCACAATAATGATCGAGCGGCGATGTGTGAAGCATACACACTGTGTGGAGATGTAGAAACTGATTGGTTGAGACTACTGCACCCCACCCCAATGCTATCTCTACACCCACGCCAAGAAACTACATTGGGAACAATTAATTTGAGAACAGGTTTGCGAGCTGAAGATTTTAAAGATGATGCACGTCCGGGGCTGAGGACCTGTTCACCCAGGAATGAACAATCCGGGATAAAACGGAATCATGTTTGCACGAGAAGATTCATACCACGATGAGTTCAGGAATGCACCTAAACGTCCCCACGATCACAAAGTTAAAAAAATAAAAAGACAGCTGGGCCGCAGGAGCTCGAAACTTTCAGTAAATCTGATTTAGAAAGAAAAAAGATACACCTCCGACGGGATTCGAACCCGCAACCCCCGGCTTAGGAGGCCGATGCCATATCCATTAGGCTACGGAGGCTCCACGACAAATTAAGTGGTCACATTTAGTGTTGTTCATGAGTGGCTATATATAGAACAAAATGGGGCAACAAAGTGGTGTTACTCAGGGAGCCGTACACATTGACATGACGACGACGAAACTCAACTGGACACGACGATCTGAAGACAAAGACTGCTTTTCACACAACACGTGTAGGGCTCCCCGGTGTTACTCTTGATCCATAGGACCATGGCCAAGAGAACGCAACTGTGATCATTTTTCTATGGGCAAGATGCTAGGCAAGCTGCCTTCATTACACCATACTAGCCTGTTAGTGCTGCTACAACTCATGCTCTGCGGAAAATCAAACACCACACTTTCCTGTGGTTTGAGATGAACTTTCAAACAGAATCTAAGTAAGGATTTATGTTTTAACGTCAGACACATTGTCGCTTACAGGATCACACTTGGCATCATTGAAGTGTGTGTCGTCAGTACCATCTACACACAAGAAGATCATCAAGCAAGGAACAACGGATGTCACGGGCATGGCACTGAGACAAGGAGCAATGGAGTTACGTGGAGTTGCACGCTCTTGGGAGATAATTTATTCTTGGTATCACTCTTACCTGAAAATTCACTCTTGAATTCAATTTCACCACTCTACATGCACACACACACACACACACACACACACACACACACACACACCAATTACAGCAGCAACAGCACAGCAGCAACAGCACAGCAGCAACAGCACAGCAGCAACAGCACAGCAGCAACAGCACAGCAGCAACAGCACAGCAGCAACAGCACAGCAGCAACAGCACAGCAGCAGCGACGACCAAAGAACAAAACCACAAGTAGTGAGGACTCCATACTCACACAGAACTTTATAAGGCAGTTGAACAAAAGACGAAGACACCATCGCCCTGCGCTACATGCATTCCATCCATACAATTCGTTATTAATTACATGCACATTCTACCAAGTTGTGTTACTTTGTGATCCTGCAGTCGAAAGCCCTTTTTCAACATGTGACCAGCAGTCTTTGCCGGCATGGTACAGAACATGTACGGTATAGGGCCAGCCATGGCACCTCTCTTCTCCCATCTTTTACTTTCCGTGTAGGCAATCCTGCCGACACCGTCTGCTCAGAGCTTCAACACTGTCACCCCTGTTATTTTGATCTTCCTCACAGTCCACTGTTGTAATGATCTCAGCATTCTATTTATACAACAACCGCGCCCGTTAAAATACTGCAATCGACCCGATCCTTACATTCCCGGCCCATTAACAGCACACCCCTAAACATTGGAACGATACTGCGACACCATCTAAGGTGTTTTAAAGTCAAACCGAGAAAAATACAATACTACGATCTTAACCATACCGCTAATTATTCTACGCACAATGTGACAAAGTCTTTTAAACAAATCCACAAAATCAACAGTTTTACTTCTTTTTAAGTAGTTAGCTAGCCACTTATCGGTGTATATCCTTTACCGAAATTGTATTCCGGAACGCAATATTCTTCTTTCCCTTTTTCTTCTACTCCGCTCCATCAGCACTCGGCCGAAGGTAGGAGATTAGCACCCACTGGGCTAGCATGCAGCAGCCTTCCCCAACATAATATTATCTTAACTCGTAACGCACTCCAGATCTCTGAAAGCCTCTTCTACTGGCAAAATACACTTGAATTCTTGTGGTGAAGGAAATTACAACCGGTATAGCTACCAACTGAAGATCACGTCAAGAAAGTGGAGGACTACAGTTACATGAATGTGCCATGCAGGATGTCCAAGGTTAGCTGCTCTGTCTAGATCTAAGCTACGGTACGCACTACATATGCCAGCAAAGCTCAGTGGAAGGAAGGTAGCACAGGGAAGGAACTCTTGGCAGTCATGCACCTCACATTTCAAAACATTACTTGTTCGGCACCACATTCAAGCTACGCACAGATTACAGAGCTCTGATTTGGCTGCAGACATTCCGCGAATCAGATGGCTTGCTCGCTCGATGGCTAGAGTGTCTGGAAGCGTTTGACTATACAGTGGAACACCGTTCAGGCAAGAACCATGTCAACGCTGATGCTCTCTCTCTCACTTGCCCATCACAGATGACGGAGCTGTGGAGGTGATGGCAACTACAGTGAATAGCAACCTTGATACTCCGGCAATCACAGAGAGTAGCTGGGCTGACACCTTCTCCACAGAGGAGGTGCGCAAGTCCCAAGACACCGACCCTGACATTACGAAGATCATTGGCTGGATGGAAGCATTGCTCGACCGACCAGCTCGCAGTGATCGAGCTATGAAATCGGCTAGCATTGGTTTACTTCGACTATGGGGTCAATGGAAGAGATTAGAGCTAGTACATGGCAGGGCGCGAAATAACAGTCGGACATCGGACAATTTCCGACCGTTTACGGTCAGTTTCCGGATGTTTTATACACATCCGGACAAAGTGTCCATGCACTTTTTTGCAAAGTACAAAAAAGAAAAGGCACGTCAATCCTTTGTCTCATAGTCATTAGTGATGTCGTCTGGCAAGAGAAAGCCAAGCACCGCTGATGCGGGTGCTCCTCTTGGAAAGAAGCCCAGAGGAGCCAAGACGACCACTTGTGACAAGTGGGTCGCCGAGTATGATAGGGAGCTTTCAACTTCTTTTTGGCTGAGCTATGAGCGCAGTCCCTCAGATCGTAGCGTTGTCGAAAATTTGAAGTGTAAGATGTGTTCCCGTTTTGTTGATAAAATTCGCAGCAGCAAGAATTTTTCTGACTGCTTCGTCGTTGGCTCAAGGAACCTGAAAACGTCAGCCTTCAAAGATCATGCTGCTTCTGAAATGCATCGCCGTGCCATGGCATTGTTTGGCAAGGAGCAGTCAAGCGGAAACCCAATAGAGTATGCGCCAATCGCTCGAGCCTTGTTCAAACTTGACGACGCAGCAGCAGCCAAGGTCGGACATATGTTTGAAATTGCTTACCTGATATGTAAAGAGCACATGACTTTCGCGAAGATGGAATCGCTCTGCCAGCTTGAGGCGCGTCATGGCGTTGATTTAGGCAGTGGACATAAAAAACGAGAAAGCCTGCGCATTGTTTTGCAGTTACATCGGACTCTCGCTGAAGCAGCAGCTGAAGTCGCATTTGTAGAACAAGTTCTTCAGTTTCAATGGTATTAATTCTACACTGAACATTGTGTGATGCGATGTGAAAATTTGCATGTCCGGACATGTCCGGCCATTTTCGCACCTGGCAGGACATTGTGTCAGAGCACATTTTAATCCTTAGCGCATGCCCTGCATGGTGTGTTATATCGCAAGTTCTACCCAGATGATGGACAACCAGTGTGCCAACTAGTAGTGCCGGAAGCTCTTCGCGGTATCCTCCTGACAGCTCTGCATGCGGGCGTCTCTGGTGATCACCTGGGCATAGAACGCACATTGGATAAGGTACGCAAACGCTGCTACTGGCCATTCTTATCGGCTGATGTGAAGGATTTCTGCAATGCCTGTTCCGTATGCCAGAGCCGGAAAGCACCTGTACCAAGACCGTGAGCCCCTCTCGTACAAGATCAGCCAACGTTTCCCTTGGAACGAATCGCGATCGATATTATGGGTCCATTACCGCAATCTGCTCATGGTACTCGCTATGTTGTGGTCATTTGTGACTACTTTACAAAGTGGACAGAGGTATTCCCATCCCAAACATCTTATGCATAGTCTCTAAATGACGGGATATTCGCTCCGTTGTTTCTTGTTGTCGGCGTAGCCTTTCGCAAGCACGGCGACTCTCTAGACGGCGGGACCTCTCTTCTCCCATCCTCTACTCTCTGTGTAGGCACTCCTGCCGACGCCGTCTGCTCAGAGCTTCAACACTGTCACCCCTGTCATTTGGCTCTTCCTCATACCCCACAGCCCTTTTGTACATTTTCTTGTAACCTTGGCCTTGCTTCCTTTTTTCGACTCGCTTCATCAGATTCGATTGCTGAATTTTTTTCTTGTGGCGGAGAGTATTCATGTATCATGCTTCTTCACTATTGGAAATTTCACACAGCGGTAAAAAAACCTCCTGTTCTTGGCGGCGATAGATAAGCGACAATTGCGATGAACCGGACCAAGTAGCATACATCCAAGGACCGCGCATGGGCTAGATCCGCCTGCAGTAGGAAAACTAACGAAGTCACACACATACACACACACACACACACGCACGCACGCACAACTAGCATTTCTTGCTCACATCTGACAACTAACTTACTGACGTGTCCAACGTTCCAATGTGGTTACCCGTAGCGAGCAGCAGCTTTCCAGGCTGACCAGCAATTGGTATCACTGCACCAAGCAGCAAACAATGGTAGAGACAAAAGAGGAGACCAACACTGACTGATACAGGTCTTGCACAGACTGTACCACAGTCGACAGGTCAGCAGTGGGCAGCTCGTACGGGAAAAATGATTCTCTGAGTGCTGAACGGACATGCACATGCCCGTTACGTCGAGTATAAAAGCCGTGCTTACTCCTGTAGAAGCCGATGTCAGTACTAAGCTTCTATTCAAGTCAGGCTTCTATTCACAGCACGTATCTCTATGTATGTCAATACTAGAACCATGCTTATGTGCTGAAAGGGTATCTTGAAAATCAGGCTTGTATTCAAAACAGGCTGCCATACGAGACACTACAGTAGGTATGTGTGTGTGTGTGTGTGTGTGTGTGTGTGTGTGTGTGTGTGTGTGTGTGTGTGTGTGTGTGTGTGTGTGTGTGTGTGCGTGTGTGTGTGTGGGGGGGGGGGGGTTAAACACCATTCTTACCGGCACCCACAGCTAGGCGATCGTCCTTCGCTCCCAGTTTCGTCAGCTGCTCCTTGGCATCAAATACTTTGTTCTGGGAAAAATAAATACAAACATATGTATGAACCATAACATACACACGTTTCTTTGTGTGAATATAGACAGCTTCCAAAATATTCCATAATTTAGCAGTACGTACATGTGACAGCATAGCGGAACAATGATCTGTGGACGTTCGTATAAAATAAAATAAATCTGAAAACACATGACGACATCCAGGACGCTCAACAACAGGAATAGCAATGGACGACTCATGCTTAGAGTGCGTGCATGCATTCACCATGCAGTAACAACCAGCAGTATGCTGCTTCCGTGTGGTGTGGTGCGTGCCAATTACACTCTTTAACTTGCACGTACCACTCCTGTTGCTGGGTCGTAGATCATGACCAGTCCTTGGTAGACATCCACCCAGACCAGCGTCTGCGTGGGCTCGTCCCAGTGCGGGCCCTCGCCGATCATCATCTTCTGGTCCACGACCGGCTCAACCTACAACCAATGTACACCAGACAAGACCCTCTGGGGCATTACTGCACATCATGCACATGGCTGCCAGCGGAGTGCAGCTACGCTAGTTGGAAGGCTGTTGGAATGTGCATCCAAGATGTGCTAGAGCTGTTAGCCAGTTAGTGGTAGAACGTCAGTACCGTCAGTCAGTGTCGTGCAATGTTATCGCACTAGCTGATTGTCGAGTAACTGGTGGTGTTAGTGGACATTATAGCATAACTTGTAGTTCATTGGTCCTTTCTCTTTTCTATACAGGTATATGTTCTGAAATACAGGCAACTCCTAGTTACGGACAGTGTTTGGTCCCAACCTGCCCGGATTGGGGCAGTTTTACCGTATAATGAATAGTACTTTAGATAGGGTTTAAAAGGGATACACATAACATATTTGCAGATCAACAATGTGCACATGCACTTGGGATATCTGGAGGCTTGAACTGAGTTATTCTTCAAGCGCAGATTAGGGTACTATATATTCTGGAATAAGCCGCACTTTAAACACTCGTCATTAACCCCAAGAAAGTCTGTGCGGCTTAGACTACGATGGTCAAATGAACCGTGATATATACATTGTAGACGTCTGTATTTCATGACAAAAAATCTGGGTGCGGCTTTTACACTCCGGAAAATACGGTATTCATATTAAATTTCGTTAGCCAGCAATACATCACTCTTGATTTTGTACTAGTATACTATTGTTAGTTTGACAGCATGAAACAAGGTGGAGGACACTGTGTTGGGAAACAGTCACCTTACTACAACCATAATGAGGGTCAAAACCGGGTTCAGCAGCCACAGATGGTCCCAACCGCGGACCGGGGCTCTGCCATACTGACCAACTACCACAATCTCAATCCCTTGACAAGACATGCAGAATCCCTGGATTTCTCTCAAAATCCCTGGATGGCACAAAAACAAGTGAAAAAGAGCTTTTTTCGCCAAAAAGCGTTCGACTCTGCAGCTCTGCGTACAGCACAGTTCGACCCGGCTGTAGTGCAGTTTGATCAGTCGGCGCCCGCCTGTCACTTTGTCAGTGCAGATCTTGCAGGCTAGGCATGGCCAGGTCTTGAAAGTGCTGTGCACAGTTCGAAGCAGGGAGTAGTACAATACCGGTATTGTACTACTCCCTGGTTCGAAGTGCGAATGAGCACCGTACATACCTTTGAAAAAAGTTTTAAAAACCGGGACATGCGGGAAGAAACCATGGAGTTTTCAGGAAAATCCTGTATCAGACAAAACTGTGGTTTTTCCGGGAGTTTGCTTGAAATCCCCGGGACCCCGGGAGGAGTGTTGATTTTCCGGGATTTTCCCGGGAAAAACGGGAGGGTTGGCCAGTATGCTCTGCCAACCGTGGATGGTTGTAGTACGGTCACTGTTTCCGAACACAGTGTCCTTCCTTCTTGTTTCATGCTGTCAAACTAACAACACGCGTGAACTATAACAAGGTTTATCTAATACTGTAGAACGGGCAATTTTAGCGACGTAAAAACCCTAGCGAATTTAGCGATCGACTCATTTTCGCTAAAGTTTCAAGTCGCTAATCCGTTGAGACATTAGTAGTGCACTGGTGATCCGTGAGTGAAATCGCTAAAATAAAACGTCGCTAACCGGTTGACAATGGGAAAACGCTAAAATTAATAGTCGCTAAAATCACCCGTTCTACAGTACTAGTACTAGCATTGAACTAGTATTGGGTTATATAATAGTATACTATTGTAGCATGTGCGGGAGTGTCAGAATCAACAACAAAATTTAATAAAGCACGTAGAGTCTCGATGATCATTGATGCATACACAATGTATCCCTATCCAAACTAGTTCCTCAACCGCTACTTCACCAACCTTCGCATTGGAGATGTCGGGTTTCGGAAGAGGCATACTGGGGGGGTCGAAATATTTGAAACAAGGAAGTCAAGTCAACGTATTATTTTAGAAAGAAAAAAACTATTTTAGAAACGTTCCTTCGTACACCCTGGCCTGGAGCTACTGTACACAACGGCAATTGTTTCAGCTGGCAGTGGCAGAACGATTTGTTGTACAGGTGCAGTCCCTTGGAAGTATTTTACTCTATCAGAATCAGCTATACTCTCTCCACCTCGCTTGTGGAGATGCCAAGTACCGGTACTCCTGTCAAGTGTCATCTTCTCGAAGCTCTGCAACAATACACGACAACAAAATAATTATTTGAACAATCGTGCTGCCAATCGATCGTATTGTGATTATAGATTTCCCGCGTGGCACGTGCACCGACCATACATTTTACATCTTCGATGCATCCCCGAAGCCGCGAAGGCTGCAAAATGGGCTAACTACAAGTACCAAGAGTACATAACCAGCACTCAGCAGAATCCGCCAGTCTCTATGCCTAGGCCCTAGGACTCCACACTAAATAATTAAAGGGGAAGTGCATCGATTTTTCGAGTAGGGTCCAGAAGAAAGACAATTATTTGAAATCGGTTCGAATGGCATATCTCTCGCTTCCATACGATAAGCCAAACTTGCCAAATCGCCAATTGTATGCTCACGTTGCCATAGCGACCAGAGCAGTGATGACGTATGAAAGGCTTAGCTCCTCCACAGAGAAGGTCGATCACTGCAGAAATTGGTCATTTTTCAATTGTCTTATTGTATTCACGATGTGAAAGAAGTGCTGTGTTCAATGCTGTTAGTGTCGTGAACTATTTATCGCCCTTCTCATGCATTTCCCTAGGCTGACTGCGCCTAGGAAATGGTTTCCTCCAGGACAAGATGCTTGGAATTCGCCATCTCTCGGACATTTTCCGCAAACTTTCAAACCTACGACATTATTTCATTCGTCAATCTCCACCACCCGTCGTCTCACCTGGCTTCAGAAGATGTTACGAGAGATAGCAGAGTCGCCAGGAAGCATCACATTCATCTTCAGGAAGTGGAAAGAGCAAACGGCATGGTCCTTGGTTGGGGGAAATGCTGAACGTCTGATTTGTCCCAACCAAGATTTCAGCATTTTGTTCGTCACTATTTTCGCTTGTCTGCTGGTGTCTCCGCACTCCAGCTTTCTCCTGTCGGTGTCACGTCCCAGTACACAACCGAGAGGACTACTAACAAACAGTTCACTGCACTAACAGCATTGAACACAGCCCTTCTTTCACTTCGTGAATACAATAAACCAATTGAAAATGACCAAATTCTGCAGTGATCGACTTTCTCTGTGGTGGAGCTAAGCCTTTCGTACGTCATCACTGCGCTGGTCGCTATGGCAACGTGAGCATACAATTGGCGATTTGGCAAGTTTGGTTTATCGTATGGACGCGAGAGATATGCCATTCGAACCGACATCAAATTGTCTTTCTTCTGGACCATACTCGAAAAATCGATGCACTTCCCCTTTAATTTTCTAAAATAGCCCCACGGCCCAGTCGTCAATCTGCCGGATCTAGGGGTGTGCGGATAATGCTCGAAAAGGTGGCAGATTCTGCTCGAAAAGCAGTGAAAATGGCAGAACCATACAAACCTTTTATGGCGGGCAATTCCTCGAATTCTGCTCCATTTCTTTATCCACATTTATTTTTTTATTTATTTTTTTATTTCACCTTCCCGTGGCCAGAGAATATAGGCCAATATGGAGGGAGCCTCAGGGAGGGGGGCGGTAGCCAGCCATGGCAGTAAACAAAAACAAAGCAAAAATAAATAAATATTACACATTACATACCAAACATGCATGAAACTTACCAGAAAAAGTACCGAATTCTGCCAATTTTTCTGCCGGCATTATCCGCATATACATGTATATGCCTAGCCGGATCATGAAAGCTGGAAAAATAATCATCGGATTAGCAGCTTCTGCTCGAAAAGCATGCAGTGATCGGCAGGACCAAGCCTTATGATAGCAGGCATTTCCTAGAATTCTGCTCCATTTATTTATCCACATGTACCAAACAATGAAAAATCCAAGAAAAGTACCAAAATCGTAGATTCCGCTAGGACCCGCTGCGCAGGGTCCGACGTGGAATCGGGGTTACACGAGGAGTGAAGGCGAAGAACGTGTCACATTCGAAGCCGAAGCTTCGAAGTATTATTATAAATTGTCACCAAGTCTGCCAATTTTTCTGCCGACCATACAGTATCCGCTCGGCTGGCTATGTAATGGGAGGCGTCCGGATATGGGAGGTGTCTGGATAAGAGAGGTTCAACCAGGGCTAGGGAGTCGTAAGAGAAGAGGGTTTACGACTCACTGACTGAGTTCAAGTATACATGTACATGTATCTGGTCGCGCTGGCTACTAGTAATAGTAGTATGCCAGTGATACCATCGCCTCTTGCACCAGGACGGGTACGACAGGAGCCACTGAACTCCACTGACCCATCTGCCCTGGACTACAAGTAGTACTAGCAGAATCCCTCATTATCCGCCACTAAGTCCCGCTGGAGACGATGCCTGATGTCCCATTTCTCTTCTTCCCCCGATTTTCTGATGCGTGAAGTAGGCGCAGATGCCGAGACCATTGGTCGGCGGAGCCTGCAGCACCCCATCACCACTGCTGCGTTGCATTTGCAGCCCCATTCAGTCAATGTCCTGTTAGTCTGTTGTTTTGTCATTTCCTCCTTCTTTCTTGTTTTACGAATTGGGTGCGTGGTTTCAAGTAAAAAAAATAATAAATAAACTATTGGCATCTGCGACGTCCTCCATAGCTGTAGTTGTTGTTGTTGTCGTTTCAAATCTGTATTCTCACGATTGTTGTTGTTGTTGTTGTTGTTGTTGTTGCTGTTGCTGTTGCTGTTGCTGTTGCTGTTGCTGTTGCTGTTGCTGTTGTTGTTGTTGTTGTTGTTGTTGTTTTTTACTAAGTACACAACCTACTCGTCCGAAGGGGAGAAGACAACAGAATACAATAACAAAACAGCAGGGATAGTAGGGGCTGCAAAGCAAGCCTGTGCTGGTGAGGCAAACCCACAACACCGACCTATGGTATCGGCGTTAACGTGGGCTTGCGCACCATAGCGTAAAACTTAAAGACGGGGGTGATTTAGTGCGACAAAGACAAGAGAAGGTGAGGTAGAATGGTTGAGGCAAGAGAGGGAGAGTTGTTGTTGTTGTTGTTGTTGTGTACCTTTATTGTAGCTTCAAAATGGGAATTAAACCTCCTTACATGAAGTCGACAGAGAGGAGAGGACCGAGGATTTAACCCACGGGAGACAGAGAAAAATGACAAAGAAGAGACTAGACTTCTGCAGTGACCGAGTCAGGAAGAAAAGGCTTGATCATTTGCCAATTCCCGCACACTACCCTGTTAGGTTTTGTTGCTATTTGTCATTGTCGATGCCATGAACCACATTGGCACAGAGACACCCCCCCCCCCCCCCCCCCCCTCCATACTGGGCCAAAGCCGGGACCTCTTCTTTCTAGCTCGAAAACATAACATTGCACACTGAAGCTGTCAAGATGGGTGAAGTGTCATTCAAGATACTATCTAAATATTAACTAAGAGATACATGTATGTCACCAAAGGCGTTGGATGAGGAAGCGTCCGTAGAAGATTATATTCGATGAACAGACTCAAAATGTGTCACAAACTTTGTGTGAAAAATGGTGTAACACGAATATTATTAATTCTAGGTTGCATGTATATAATTTCTGAGTTTTAGAAGTTAGACTCGGGTGGAGAGCCAAGGATCTTTGGTCGTCTTTTCCACTTATAAGTTTTAGAAGTATCATACAATATCAAAAACATGTTATACATCTAATGCGTGCCATGGATCCTGCACAAATGGAAGTCTTCATAGTTCTTGATGAAATTGTTTTAATTAAAACGGATCACTCATGTCAACACATGAATTGTTTGCACTTCTCAGGATCTCCATGGCAATGCCGATAGCCAATCAGTGTACGGCGATACGCCAGCTCTTGTCTGTCATCATCATGGGTTAACAAGACCATTTGATCATAAGTCCTCTTCATACAATGGCACTCCTCCAGTTCTTGCTCTTTTCCAACTGTAGGTGCAGCTTCCAGAATGGCAGGTGGATAGGGGACAACGAAGGATGGAGATGATGGGTCGACATCAGAGACGGGAGAGCAAATCCACCGTAGGCTACATGTGGATGGAAATCGATGAGGAAAGACATATGTATCGGGGAAGTAGCAGCCCTGCTCGAAATGTTTTCCAGTTGGGGGAAACACATGAAGACCGTCCTCATACGTTTCAACAGGTGGAGCACATGAAGGTGTCGACGATTGTGATTGAGTTGGCAGAGGTGTCGACGATTGTGATTGAGTTGGCAGAGGTGTCGACGATTGTGATTGAGTTGGCAGAGGTGTTGATGTCACAAGAGTCGCTACCACCATCAGAATCGCCATGCAGGACGCTGCGTTTGAATCGACCTGTGCATTGGGACAACATTGAGATAAGAACGAGATGATGTCAAGAGACAGAAGTGATGATGTCATACTGGCTTTACAATAAAACGTTTTATGTTCACAGAGAATCCCAAGAAAATGATAGGAGAGTGTGCGGATGATGGTAGGGTAATTTTGACTACATTGCCCCTTGTTCTAAAGGCAAAAGCAAGGGATTTTGCAGAAATACGAAGTATCTAGAAAGCTGGATAGAACTGATCTTACCTTCGCCATGTTTTCCAAGTTTAGGTCTGCAGCTTGCGATAAGACCTTCACAGTATAGTAGGTGGAAGATATTTTGCTTTTCTCTTAGACTTTACAAAATCCAAGTCGAGTATCTTTCTGCTGACTGGATTTGGCAATGGTGGTTTTATAGCATGTTGCATGGTGTAAAGTGTTAGTTTGCCAATCAGGGTAGAAAGCAAGCGAAGGAGAGATTGTTTCCTTCATTGAGGCTAACTGGTGATTGCCTTGAAGTATGGAAGTACAGGTTCTTGATTGTGGGAAAGAGGAAACATGGTAGAGAAAGCAAACGACAGTAGATTGAGAGTAATAGAGAAGTATCCACAGGTTGCTGGGGTTCATCATGACATGTCCAAATCTTTGTTCCTTGTCTTGGTTTGTCATAAACCAAGATCCAGTACACATTGTATTATACCAGTCTGTTAGTGTGATTTAGCTTGGTGTTAGCCTTGCAAGGCACGCAGAGCACTGTTTCATTTTGACTGGGTATCAAGCTCAATCCTGTTACTTGTTGCTTGCTGTAAAGCCACGT